AGAGGAAGTCAATCATTTAGCAGAACTGGAAGTCCCTATTCATACCTTAAAATGCCCAATTCACAGGGCAAGATATAGGAACATTCAAACCTATATCATTCATAATCAGAAACATCAAACAGTGCCTTTAAATGCTGGTTTCAGAGGAGTTCTAGAGTTGTATTCTTCCAGAGAGGGCAAAAATCCACTGAAGTGCACAGTGCTTTTAATCGTCTGGGTTTAAGAGGGTTATGTGGCTTTTTGGGAGGTCTCAGAACTGCTTTCTATAGATTTTCTTGTGAATGGGTATCTAAGGTATTGAGTGATGACCCCGTTGTACATGTCATGGAGTATAATGAGGTAAGTTTACAAGTTGGTTGGTAGCTAATCCCTCCCTTTATTACAAGAGCAGGTTATTTGAGAGAGGGGGATGCAACTTATAAAAGAAGTAGTTTGGGTGCGTGTACTGGACCAGGAACTCAATAATACTTGATTTAGTCTGAAATTCAGTCAGGGTCACAAGGAAAGTACCTGGATGTACATGAGGGAATGCCAGATGTGCAGGAGTTTAGTGTCAGAGAACAAGACAATCTTTGTACCAACCTTAAGAAGAAAATAAAGTGAGAGAAATGCAATGCTATTAAAGAAGCACCTGGTGATCAATCAAGCATAGCGGGCATGACAAAGTGTGCACTTGTGCTGATGCACTAATAATGGCCATAATTGTTCAGACAGATCAAGCAAGTCCATCTGAATTGATTGAAAAAAAAAACAACATAATTATGCAAATAAAAGGGTATTCATTTGGTTGCTTTTCCTTTTTTCTCCTATGCCCTGGGTTCCCTTACAAGGAACTTGCTCTGTATTTTAACTAAAATACACGGTAGTTTCTCATAATAATAAATGTTACTTTCACACTTCCTAGGGCCTAGTATGACCCCAGTTTAAACAGTCCCTTAGAAGAACTGAAGCTGTTGTGGCTGCAAGGAGAGGGCTGACATCTTTATTTAACCCTATGGATCAAGAATGAGTTGTCACTTAGGTTAAAATGTATCTGGCAATAGAGTGTATGTGTTCTCTATTCTTTGTCTGCTGCTTTTGAGAAGCTCAAGAATTCGGTTGCCTAGTTAGCTGATAAAGGCAGGCTAACGAGGAGAATCGGGATCTATCCCAGAGTCCCCAGGCTTGCTTTGCAAGGTTATTAGAGGAGCAAGCTATGAGGGCCAAGCACGATCCACTCTCTGACCCCTGCAGCTGTTGAACGTGACCCTGAGGCTACAGGAGGCTGGGGTCAGCTGACCCGGGCAGACGCAATTGGTTGATAAGGTCGCCAGCAATAACAAGTATAGCAAGCTGACCCAGCCCGGGAGAACTCTGTCTGAGGCAATTATAGGCATCCTGTGTGAAACACCAACCTTGTTTGGGTTCTGGTCTATTGAATGATTCTCTATTCCCGTTTCCTCCACTCTTTAGTAATAATTGGGGGAACGGGCTAGAAATGAGTTTTGCTATTATGATATTTAGAGTTATGTGTTTTTAGTGAATATAAACAAATAGATGAGGCTCAAAAATTATACTTTTATTGTAAACCCTGATTCGGTGGCATTTCTACTTTGAACTGGTGTAAACATTCGCACAACCATGTGGTACATCTGTTTATAATGGTGCAGTCTTGTTTATGTGTCAATGACAACTAAGCCGTCTCATCACTGAAGTGCTAGAAAACTAGATTTAAGAACTGTGGTGGACTGTCTAGGGTATGGCCCACCTTTCACCCAATGTGCTTTGAAGATGGGCACCGGCTGAACCCTGTAATGCCCAAGGATTAAGCAAGTAAAGAAATGTTCTCTTGATCGGCAGAGATTAGAACAGAATACCAAATAGTTTATTTCCAAATATTCAGCTCTCTATCAAAATTATAATATGTGCCATTTATACGGCACCATGATATACAACACAACAGAATTCCTGTATTTATTTCAGTGTACATCAGCGGTCTAATCTTGCCTTTAATAGCCAGATTTGTGTCATGTGTAACCTTTATGACTCTGCCTAGCAAGGTCGTTCCATTCGGGAGCTCATAAGCTCTACTCGTATCCGTCATGTGATGCACTGACAGCTCTAACCTTCCCAGGCGGCCTCATGTGCCATCCTCCCTCCAGCCTATTGACCAAAGTAATAAGACATTCTATATGGTGTATTAAAGTCATTTTCCACATGCTCCCTCGGCACATCCTATTGTTCATGCACGCTCCAACTGACCACAGAAAGTAAAAAAATAAATAAAAGATCTTCTCATGACTAAATTACAACCATTTTAACCACTGAAACAGAATTGAGCATTAAAAGGAATTGTTTCTTACTTTTCAATGCATCCACTTAAAATGGTGAAAGTGGTAAATCGGGACCAAGCCAAAGATTTCAGTTTTTTTACTATTTGAAGATCCACATGCTAAGTGACGTTTCACAAATACACTACCAAAGCCTGCCTTGTAGTTTAACTGCAGAAGTCGCTGCACCGGCTGTTTTGAACTAAGTAGGAATGACAAGATAATTCCTACGATGGATAATTTCCAAGGTAATACAAATAATAATTCGAGAAAATCGTGCCATCAGAGCCATCAAGTGGTGAAAAGAAGGGATTATCCTTGGATGTACAATACCTGTGATAAGGATTGTTTTTTCAAAGTTCTGGCACAAAAAAAGCACAATGGCCCAAAAAGTGCTTGGAACAGTATATATGGGTCAGGAGAGGTTCACCTGTTTTGTTTATTTTTATACAATTTTCACATTGTTTTGGCCATTTATATTTTTCAGATTTTGTCTGAACACTTGAATTTTGTTATAAAACGTAAAAACAGTAAAAAAAAAAAAAAAAAGGACAAAATTAAATATTCCGAATTTTATTTTTGGTACAATTTGCTTTGGATTTATTGTGAAATGCAATGAAAATTTGTAAAGTAAAGAAAAAGTAAAAAAAAAAAAATTGTAGAAAACCTGCTCAAAAAGGTCCTACTTCTAAGACTTCTAATGGTTTAGCATAAAGTATTGGAAACAAATGTACAAGACAAGCTCTCCAGACGCTGATAATCTCTGTGTTACACCCCCATTGTGGAGATGGGGAGGAATATGGGGTGAAACAAACTTGACATGGAAAAGTTAAAACTGACTTGAATAGTGATGTGAGCTTAATAATTTGACTGTGGACACTGGTGGCATGGCCCGATAATTCCTCCAAAAAAAAGTTAGAAAAACTAATTTCGGGAGGAGCCCATCAAGATTAGTCTCATGTGGCTTTATTTGAGCTAATTGCCAATCCCTGCATTGAGGCAATGCAACCAGACATTCATTCCCCTTTTGTTCAAGGTTTTCAAGACAATTTCTCTCCAGTTACTAGGCCCCTTACACAGATAGCTTTCTTAGAATACTTCGCCCAATGCTCAGCAAATACTCGTTTAATAAGCTAAGCAACTTGTGCTGGGCATATATATATATATATATATATATATATATATATAGATATATATATATATATATATATAGATATCTTTTATCTTGGAAGATAGAAGATACTTTGCAAACTACACTGCAATACATATATATTCAAAGTTGTGCACAAGGTATACAAAAACATGTGCTTTGTTCCATTTTCTAGGACATTGTATGTGCGTGCATATTTTACCTGTCTTGCCTCTATCCAATTCAAGAGTGCTTAGACTGTTAAAGCCATCATTCTGCATGTAGTAGCATTAGCATTCCAAAACGTTTCATATTTCTTAACAGCAATTATCGTAGTTGGGAGTTGAGGCTCGAGGGACATCAATTTCTCCTCCAGTACTAATGTGTAAGATGCTTGAAAAAATGCTAGCAGATGTAAATGAATTTAAGTGGATTGTATTGCCGAATTCCAAAACTTTGTAGCACATTGACATTACAGGCCATTCTTCTTTGAAGGCTTGATTATATTGGAAAGGGGGCTCATCCAGGAACTGGCCAAATCTTCTACTCCAGTGCCCATCTGCAGTTCATAGGCTCATAATGTCAGAGGTGCTTTTGGGAACAAGCTCAACATGCATCGACTGCTGTGCTGATATCAGCTCCGCTGCTGCTGTACCATGTGACAAATGATTCCAATCTAGGCTGCATGCCCTTGACTTGACCCTGACAACAGGCCAAGCGCAGCCAATGGAAAATATGTGCTCTAATAATCCCTAGACCAGCCAAGGGATGGGGAGAAAGAGCGATGGATGTAGACGAGGGAGCTTGGACATCTCAGGTGCAGGAGGATAATGAGATCGCTTGTTTGCTCAGTGAAAATTACCCTGCAAGACCTTGCTCTGCTCAGCAGCCATCTTGTCTAGCTTGTGAATTGGGCTAATTCCTGAGGGTGTGTCATGTCAAGGATTGCAATCTCTTTTAACACAGCACCTCTGGCAAAGTGCAAACATGTAAATGGGGTTTGGTGTCACCCTCTTTCACCACAGACTCATAGCCACAAAGTCCCCCCCTCCCCCCTCCACACACTTCATAAAGCCAGTTCTGTGAAATGGGCACATACTTGCCAAACGCGGTGGTGGATACACAGCTCACCAGAAAGGTCCGGGAAGCATGCTGAGTATGCAAATGAAATTCTCCTTTCCTTATTTTCACCTCACACCACCCTGCTGGTGAAGCAGTCCCTTGATTCAGATTCCACTCTGCTGTCATTTTTCTCTCCATCACTACGGCCTGCTATCCCTTCTCTTTTTCACACTAAGAAAAAGAGCTTCAGAATAAAGAAAAAGGGTAGTCTAGAGAAGGTTACCACAGTAATCCTATTTAAACTCTGAATATATGTAGTAAAATGTTTGATTATTTGATATGAACTGGCCAATAAAACGTCTTATACAGAATCTACAATAGATTTGCTTTCATGTAAATTTTTTCAAGTTTATTTTTCCAAGTGCAGTTTTGTACTTGAATTACTTTTACATTTATGCATTTTACTTATACTACACAAAATTAACACATTTCACTAGTTGCTTTCCCTGGGGTTTGAACCAGAAACCTTTGCATTGCTAGCGCAATGCTCTACTATATGAGCCAAAGGAAATATTTAGGTCTCAAAATTTTTTTGTTCACTGCTTAGAATCACAGGAGAAAATGCTTTATTATATTTTAGACTCGCGGGTGATGCGGGAGTTTGCATGTTCTTCCCATGCTTGCGTGGTATTCCTCTGGGTACTCCGGTTTCCCCCACAGTCCAAAAACATGCGGCAGGTTATTTGAATAATCTAAATTCCCCTTAGGCGTGAATGTGTGTCTCGCCCAAAGTAAGCTGGAGATAGGCACCAGAAGACCCCCCCCCCACACAAAAAAAAAACAAACAAACAGGTATGAAGATGAATGAATGAATGTCTGAAAAATCAATTTACACCAAAACATTGACAACTTAAGTATTTTATATCAGAATAGCTCTCTGTGTGAGAACTGAGAAAGGTAATCGAGTGGTGATTATAGGTATTAGCCATATTCAGAGAGGCCATAAGGGGATCCTCAGAAGCTGCTGTATAAATCTCCGGGAACAGGGTCTCTTGAGTGCCTAGATTCCATGGAAGAATCCCCAGATGAGCATACACCAAAGGGCATGCAAAGAGGACAACGATTCGACAAGGGTTCGAGCGAGAGACTCTAAATTTAGACACAAGCAATTCTATAGGTGAGTTTCCAAGTGTGGGCATGGACTATCAGGCATCTGGACCACAATGGCTAGGGTGCTAACAGATGAGCTCAACCTGGGAGCTAAGCCGCCGATGGAGATCGCACACCAATGGGAACACTCCTGTGTAAGCCTTCTGGATTTGGAGAGGAATCGCAGCACAGGTAAGTAGGTAAGTGAGTCAAGAAGCAGACAATGAAAAAAGCCAATGAGGGTGGTCTGGAAGTAACACATGGGAAAAATTGACGACAGACATGGGACTATTGGGAGCTGTAGTTTTTAAAGGTAACTTTGGTGATGAGGTTGGTGATTGCAGGTGATCTTGATTAGAGTTGTGGGCAGAGTTGCAGACTCTAATTATATTTGTAGATGGAGCTGTTCCAATGCATTCTGAAAATGCATTATTTATCTTGAAATTCATGTTTTAAAAATAAACGAAAGCAAGGGATGCAATCAGCCAGAGACAGAGTTGTTTCTAAATAATATTTTCAAATTTCAAATATTAGTGACTTATCAGTGGTTGAAGGCAACACAAAAACTTTCCAACCTGAGCAAGCATCTTGAAAACCTGTGAGATTGTTGGTGACACACAGTTCGCCTTGATTCGTCAAAGGCACTGTGAGTGTGATGTATCCAATCAAACCTGACACAGAGACAAACAGCAGTTGGAAGCAGCACAAACCTTTCCTGCCTGCTGAATGTGATATGACAGCCCCAGCTAAAATCCCATCGCCAGCTTTTGAGCTGGTCAACAGCTTTTTAACCCACTTGATGCTCAGAGCATTAGCTTGGTGGAAAAGTGTTGACATGCCACGGATCTGCTCCGAAGGCACAATGAATCCACAGTTTAGCAGTGGATGGATGTCCACAGCAGCTGCATGATTGAAAAGCATGTCACATACACACACTGCACAGAAGGTAAAGGATGCTTTTTAGGGCCTAAGTAGACGAGGACATGCTGTGATCTGAAAGCTGCTCTTGAAAGTGTATACAAAGGCAGAGATAGCAATACAGAGATGACACATAGAGGTCAAAATCTAACGACAGGCAAGTAAAAGATCAGATATGCATTCCTCGGGGCAGCCGACATTTCATACTGTGTATTATGGAATTATATGGTTTTTGTTTCAAAGGTGTAAAGTTTGACAGAGTATTTAAAATTAAACTTCTACCAAAAGCCATTTCTATCGAATTTATTCAAAATGTACAGTAAAATTGGGCCTACGCACATATTTGTGTGTGTTTATGGAATTAACTATCCACAGTAGCAGCAGATGTTACTGCAAGTTTTGGAAAGAAGAAAACAAAGAAGAAAAGAGATTAGAGAAAAGAATGGAGAGGAAATTAGGAGGAAAGGAAGAGATCATGTGATGTTATCTATTTTTTTAAATATGCTATTAATCCTAAACCACATTATAAAATATCCCATCCAGAATTAAGTTTTATTTAAATGTTTAATTTTTTTCTTAGATTTGTTTTAGCTTGTGATAGAAATAAGACAGTGTTCAAAGGTAATGCCTCAGATGGCCAGCAGCTGTTTGAGCATTTGCAATGGCTAACGGCTGGAAAGCAGCACACAGCATTTACAAATATAAGAAATATAACAAAGAACCAGACTCACTCCATCAATGTCAGGCCAGAATGCAAGAGAGGCACTTTCAGAAGCCTGGTTACAGTCCATGTGTGCTTGTTCCTCCACTGCAGACAGAAACCCATCTTTGGTTTTTATGTGCCCTCTTAACATAATGAAAATAGTTCAGGGCACAAATAAATATATAACTATTTTGGAGCACTACGGTCAGGGTCCTACACTGCAGGTGGAAAGATTAATGTCCATTCAGCCTATGCACAAATGGCAAATGGTTTCGCTGGCGTTTCAATTCACTTATGTGTTACTTTGGGCAAGGTCAAAAAGCAAATTGTGAACCTCAAGAAATAAATGAATCAAAAGAGCAGCAAAAAATATTTAAAAAATAAAGGTACTAAACTGCCTCTGAATAAAATAATATGGCAGGTACAAATGGCAGAGAGGTGTTCAGATGAAACAAGAAATGCTTTTTGTTTCATCATTAACACTATTTACAGAAGTTATTTAACCAAGAAATGCAAAAGTTACTAACACATTTATTTCCTAAATACATATCTAACTTTTTGTTAATGTTGGATATTAAAAATGTATTTAATTTCTATAGAGTCGGGTTATGGCTGTTTATTTTTTTAAACTTTTTTTTTAAATAAAAATCTTTTACAAAAAAAAAATGGTTTAATTGTTTCCTTCGATGATTTCAATTCTACTGTGATTTATCAGATTTTATTTTGGGGAGATTTCATGCATCATTGTGAAAATAAACCTTATCTTTTTCTAATGATTCCAATGTGATGAAATGTTACTGGTTTAATTGGGAACACTGGTTTCATGGCCTGTTTACTCCTCCTGAAACACGTTATATAAGCATCCCTTAGTGATAACTTTCCTTAGCTTACAGCCACCCGACATTTAATTCTGTTTTGGCTGTCAGTACATAACACTCACACCTCACACATTCATTGAAACCACAACCCCTGTGCCTTCCAAACAAGACAAGGCATCCTACATGGCATTTCTTTTCCCACTATTGTATTTCCAATGATAAAAGTAGGAAACTGTTTATAACTGTTTAGCCCGTATCCAGCAGTGGCACAAAGAGTAATGAAAAGCTGCAGGCTCAATATTTTACACACTGATGCATTTTTTGGAGCACACTTCTGCAGGGCATCCATGAAACAATGGGTGTCATAACCGAAAGGTGTGTGTTATTAATCTCTCAAGCCTCCCCAATCAATCTGCTTCCTCCTCCACTAACAGTGTAATGCATTACATCGCTAAACGAAAGACCACATTTCACCAGCGCACAAAACCCAAGCTCAGGAGGAGATGTCTTCCTCAGCCAAGGCAGCCATGCATTACCACTAAAGAGCTTCTTCTGCTTGTTACAGGCATTACTGAACAATTTTACTCTGAGGGATAAGTAGATGCACTGTAATTCATACCAATTTATTATTTCCCCTACTCCTGCCAAATAGACTAGAAAGAGCCCAGGCAGTAATGGCACTTTTTTTTATTACAGTGTTAGGGCTGGTTTTGTTGTGCAGCTCTTGTACACGAGGGCATGAAGTGAGACAAATGTGGTGCTGTGTTCAGCAAAGACAATAGAGAAGTGTGTGTTTGCACTAAACTTGACTTTTCGTATTTATCATGGATCCACATCCAGGCATATCGTAGCATCTTAGATGGTACTGGGTACCATTTATCAGGTATGTTGTGAGGTCATCTCTTGCAGATGTCTCTGGCAAATACTGGTGTGCACTACACTGCAAAATCATGTTGAAAGATGACACTGGAGCAATTATCCCAAACCTTTGATTAGCCCCAGTGTATGCAATCACAGTTGGAAATCAATTTTCAATGACATCCGCAAATCTAACGAAAAAGCTGCCAACATGCCATAAGTGTGCTTGAACGGAGAGCTCTCTTTTTCATGACATTTCCAGATGATCTTTTTCCTTTTTTATGAGATTTGCGGCTAATCAGGTGAAACAGAGGTGAGTTGAGATCCTGCCAAATACAGGAAACAGACGAGTCAGGTACTCTGCAACTAATGTGAACTGCTGGTAGCGCTTTTGCAGCATCCAGACGGATGTCACATTGGTTACACACATCCTCTTTCAAATATGCTAATGCATCCCGATTTGTTTTCCCTTTCAAAACTGGCGTGAACGTAGAAATTAGACATAGTAGTCTATGCATTTGCGCTGGGCAGAAAACTGTACTTTATGACAACTAATTGACACTTGATAGGTAAGTGTTCTAAAACGGCACAATATTATTATTGTAAAGAACTCCAAATCAAACTTAAATTTATGAGTTTTCTTAAACATTTCTTGAGTAAGCGAAGTACAGTGTATGAACCTGTGTCCCTTTTTGAAATTTGTATATAATTGTTTTTTTTCTACGCTTATTACAAACTATCATTTTATCCAGTAATATAGGCTTTATTTTTTTTAGATGTGAACATTTTTGAACTTAATATCATTATGTCATGATATTCAACAAAATCTGAAAATTAAATAAAAAATAATGGTTCAGATGGTCCAATGACTGCATTTTGTAGTCTGTAAATATGCTATACTCAGCCATAATTGTTATAATAGTTATAATACTTATAATATAATATGTTCCTGTAGCACTATTTTCTTTCTCTAGAGAAAGACCAAAGCATGTTCATAATCTGATATTCCATCCATCCATTCTCTTCTGAATAAAATTCACCCAACTCCCACAAATACAAAGCAAAACAGTGTGGTTAAAAAGCAGGTTACATTCTGTCGAGTTGAACAAATGGGCCTGGTCAGAG